GGGGAGGGTCCTTGGGGAAGACTCAGTTGCAGGCCTGAAGAGCTCCACCGAGTAAACCACTTGGAGGATTACAGTATCCAGACCTGTGTCCTGCTTGCCTAACTGTATGACTGGCTTCCAGAAACAGAAGAACCCATCAATAGTGAGCAGCAACTGGATTCACTAAAGCTGTACTCCTTGTTGATTACACTTCAGTATCATTCACATATTTTATTTCCTGTCCTTTAGTGAACACTATACGTGTGTGTGTGTGTGTGTGTGTGTGTGTGTGTGTGTGTGTGTGTGTGTGTGTGAACATGCTACATTTTATATGTACCAGGAATTGATCCTCAAGAGGACCTTGCACACGCTAGGCCAAGTGTTCTAACACCAAATTGTATCTCCAACTGCTTTTAATTTTGAGATGAGGTCTAAGTTGCCCAAGCAAATCTTCAACTTGTAATTCTCCTGCTCAGTGTCTGGGTTTCTAAAATTATATGGCTTTAACGACAGACCCAGCCAAATCCAAATACTGTCGTCTTTTTTTCCTCCTTCTCCTCTTCCTCCTCCATCTCCTTGGCTGTTTTTTGACACAGGATCTCACTATGTAGCTCTGCCTGTTCTAGAACTCACTATGTACACTAGGCTGGCCCTGAACTCTCAGAAGTCCACCTGCCTCTGCCTCCCAACCTTTGGGATTAAAGACGTGTACCACCAAGTCCAGTTTCAAGTACTGTATTCTTAAGAGAACAAACTCGGCTGAACCTCAGGGTGCCTTCTCGCCTAGGCCATTTTTCTATTCTGGGAAAGATCTGACGCAGTGAGAAGCATGGTTTTTCATATTTCAGGAATCAGATCTCAGAACTCATCATAACTCGGAAACAGACTCAGGGACAGGATAGTGTCATGGCTGTGAGAGGGGCCATGAGATCACATCCATTGACTCTGTGACAAACTGTCATAAAACCTGATGCCACTGTGCCTTCTGGGTACTGAGTACCTCAAATACAATCCTGCATGTTCCAGGCCATTGTCTCAGGAAGGATCCATGCCCAACATGACGTGAAGGTAAAGGAGCCATGAGAATGTCCAGAGGGTCTGGCATGGAGAACACGTATAAAGTGGAGAGCTGTGTCTTGTGGACTGTGAGCTCTAGGCATCATGGACACAGGCTGGAAAAGTCTGAGAAGGGCCAAGAGCGCAGGAGCCGTAATGCTGCTCCCATGGCCACAGTGGTCATGCACACAGTTTTACCCAAGGAGGCAGTCAACAGTATTCAAATGGCCGTCTGCCAGATGGAATGGCACCAGCTCAGGTGTCCCCTGGCTGATGCTGCTACCCCCAAAACAGAGGTGATGCTCCTGACCATCACACATCTGTGGAAGCTGGTCATCCCAAGATAGACTCTCTCCTGTCAGACCTAGACATATGGAAGACCAGGAAGTAACTCCAGAGCAACGCGTGCCTGCTTGCATGAGATAAGCACTTTCTAATGACCAAACAGTTATTTCTCCTTTCTGTACATACTTTCATACTTTCTGCTCTGCACCCAACACATGGATGCACAGATAAATGAAGATGCCATGGGAACAGGGAGATGTAGAATGCTAGAGAGGTCCCCAGGAATCCACAAAGATGATTCCACCATAGACTACTGGCAATGGTCGAGAGGGTGCCTGAGCTGATCTACTCTGGTGATTGGATGGCAGAACACCCTAACTGTCATGATAGAACCCTCATCCAGTGACTGATGGAAGCAGATGCAGAGATCCACGTCTGGGTCTCAGGCAGAGCTCTAGGAGTCCAATTGACAAGAGAGAAGAGGGATTCTAAGAGCAAGAGATATGGAGACCATGATTGGAAAAAGTACAGAGACAACTAGCCAAACTAGTGGAAACACATGAACTGTGGACATGTGGACATGTGGAAACACATGAACTCCTCCAATAGCTGAGGAGCCCTCATGGTACTGGACTAGGCCCTCTGGATAAGTGAGACAGTTGATTAGCTTGAACTATTTAGGGGGCCCCCAGGCAGTGGTTCTGGGACCTGTCCCTAGCGCATGAGCCAGCTTTTTGGAACCTAGTGCCTATGGTGAGACATAGCCTTGCTTGTCTTTGCACAGCCTTGATGCAGGGAGGAGGGGCTTGGACCTGCCTCA